GGCAACTCTCTAGGCTGCGTTTTGAATCCAGGTTTGGTTGAATTCTCAGATGCCATGTGGTCAGTTGAGTAAAGGGCAAATATCATGCAGCTGCAGTGGAGAAGTCTTTATTATTTAAAGTGGACTAGCTTGGCCTTCTTAATGGCCCATTGACAAAGTGGGAATGGGCCGGAAGCTACAAGGCAGCTATTCTGTCTTTTCAAACATGTTTCTTTTTTTTCACATCCAGAGAAATATTCTGCCTTTTCAATATTTCCTAGCCTAGGATATTTCATTTTTCTGGGAGAGGGCTGAATGATAACTTCCTACAGCTGGAAATTCCATTTCCAATTACCATTTATAAACCAGGAACTACCGGTATACCCTTTCCTTACAACATAGTTGAGCAAAAGTACCTAGATAATTCCTAAAACTAATTTACTGAATATAGTCTTTAAAGCCACAATGATGAATAGGTTCAATTTCCAGTAGAGGATTTGGACTCCATAGAATAAGATCTGACTATGTAAATCTGATTATTTCAAATGTAGATGGAACTAGGCATATTCGGTCTCCTGGTGGTCGTCCAAAGAAAAGAAAAGGAGTCAAGATGGGAGTGGAAATCATTGATTGGCAGTGCCGGACTCCCAAGTTTGATTCCCAGACAGTCAAGTTTCCCGGGACCTCCTTTTCTGTGTCCAATTTAAACGGCTTCTTAAGCGGATGTTTGGGGCTTTTTACAAGAGAGGTAGCCAACAATTCCGTATCAAAATGTATCGACGGAATGCGCTCCGTATAAGAAATAACTATTTGCTATTGCGCAATGTTAAATTGCGATTTTAAAAGACGCTGGTTAAAAAACAAAAGGCAACCTGTTGACATTCTGCGTTGTTCTGTAACATTTCAGAAGGAGGGGCTATTTCTTCTCTGCCTGCGAATTGTGTGGCCCGGCCTTCCCGGTAAAGGAAAAACCCACCCTGCTGAGTTTGCGTAGATTTGTTGCTGGGGCGCCTACCCCGCACATGGAGGCCCTCACCAATCAGCTGGCAGGAACCGAAAGTGTGTGTGGGAGGGGGAAGCGGAAGCCGCCTCCTCTTGAAGCTAGAGCGGCCGAGCAACCATGGCGGCGTCGGCAGGGGCGACCTCGGGCTCCGTGTGGTGTTGCCTGCGCTGGGCTTGGTGCGGAGATGGCAGCTCCGGGCACATCCCTCTCAAGGAGATGCCGTCGGTGCTGCTGGACACACAACAGATGGGTAAGGGTAGCTACTGCCGCAGGATTGGAGCGCAGGGATAAATCCCCCCTGGAAACAGGACCTTTAAAGAGATCGTAACACGCCCCTCTCGTTTCTAAAGCTACGTTGAGCTTGTGCTGTTTACGAAACAATATGTTTAAAATTCTGTTTCTGTGTTTGTAAAATTTTAAATTTTTGAAAAGTGTAATTTCTCCATGCTTCTGTTCCCCCGTCAAAGAAGGCTTGTTTTGCGCTAGTTAAAAATTAGTAAAAGGTGGTAGTATCTGTTTAATGTACTATTTTAATAAAGGGAGAATGGCATATTTCTTCACTGACTTCAAAGTGCATTCTTACCTATATCAAGGAAACTACAAATCTGTTACATTTTTCCTATCGTAAAGTAATTATATTGATGCACTCTGCTATAGCTAAAGTTGTTTACAAGTTAGCCTTAGAAATGTGAATAAACAAAATACTAATTAACAAAATTGATCTATATGCAGCACCATGGCTCCTTCCTCTTCCCCATTTAAATATGTGGTATCCACATATTATTTAAGAACAGATTCAAAATGAAACTGCCAATCTTTTAATCCCCTTAAGAGAAATCTGAAAGAGCAATACTTAAAATTTACTATAGTGCTGATATTTGTTCCTTAAAATTGTAAAACAGGCAGAAAATATGAACAGAAATTATGAGGTTGAAGTACATATAGTTGAGTTACAGCAAGGAAAACTGATGTGTAAACTAGGAACAAGGTGGATTTTCTGTCTTGTAGGCTCTTCCTTCCTCTTGTTAACTGCTACATGAAATCACTCTGGAGCTCAACAGCTGAGATCAAGTGTTATCAGTGTGCAGCTGATACACAGTTGTGTACAGTATCTCAAACTGGGCCAAAGAAGATGCAGCCGAGCTGCTATTCCAGTACCCAGAAGTTGTGACTGTCTGGATGGGGAAAATAGAGTGAGGTAATTCAGCAAGATTGAATGGATTAGGATTTGGAGACCAGCTGATACCAGATTTCATATTAGATTTTGTATAGGAATGAACATTTTTGTTCTGAAGTGTTTCATAATTTTGAAAGTGATCTTGAACTCACAGTTCCTGCTTAGAGCAGGTTGCATTTATGGTCAAACAGATTTTTGCACAAGTTCATCTGTTGTTACTTCAATTCCTGGAACAGAAG